ATGGACGTTCTCTAATTTGGGTCGATGCAAAAATCTGACCCGATACCTATCCCTGAACAAAACCAGCAAGCGAAGGTGCCTTGTCTCTGAATCGAGAGAGAAAGAGCGCACACAGACATTTGATATCATAGAGTAGGCCTGCAGAATGGGTCCCAACTCCCACGGCGCGAAACCATGGGAAGAGTCGCGTCCTCGACCCTCTAGTTTTATCAGGAACCCCCTGTTTTTGTTTCAGTGTATCACTCTGCGGTTACTATATAAGTAAATTACTTCCTTCAAATCTCTTCAACAAACAATTCTAACTCAGAACTATTGTACTACATACACTTCGCCAAAGCTTCCTCATCTGAGCTCACTGGTTCTTCTTTTACAAGAAAGATGTCTGGGCTGGTAGATATGTGGAACAACGAGGTCTCAAAGCTGCGCGAAAAGGGTCGGAGCTTCCTCCCAGGCGGTTCAAACTCCAATCCTGGGGTACAGTCCACCCAGATGGTTCGAGAAGAAGAACTAACTTCACCTCTGTCCCCCACTTTAGGCCGTTCCATGCTTACCAAGTCGCCGGCAGTGTACTGCTCCGACGCTTCTGTTTCTATGCTTGTCGAATGTTTTAGCCCTTAAAAAGGGGAAAAAGAAAGGGAAAATCAATCACAGGGGAACTTTTTTTTTTCTTCGTTTCGATTATATTTGGGTTGGTTTCCTTTATATTGTACATGCCTGTGTTGAATATATGTTAACTAATTTAACTTTTTAATCCAAGTTTGGTAATATAATTATTAGAATTTCACTGTAAATTTGTTTTGCCCATCTATGATCTATCCGATAGCAAACATAGATTAAGTTAGCAGTGCCGATCAGAAAGCAGGGTTAGGTATCGGGAAACAAGGTAACCGATCAATGGTAAGAATCATTATATGCCGTTGGTACTCTCAAACGTGGGCAAATAAGCGGCTGTGCCAGACTGGTTTCAGCAAATCCGAACTGGATGATTGTGCTGTGATTTCTAAAGTCTAAACTCAACAGTGAAGGCTTATTCAACTAAAACGGTTGCAGATTCAGACACCCGTTGACAAGAATATGATAAAGTGGGTATTTCTAATTGTCTGCACTCATTGATATATCGAGCATGTGTTTAATGGTGGAGAACAAAATCGACAGACATGAGAAAATACAGAGCAAAAGAGAGAATATTATGACCAACTGAATTAATGAAGCCAATACTTCGACCCTTTATTAAAAAAAGTGAAATTCTAGCTAGTGGGCATGTTTGGAGTCACCTGGCAAAGAATGTTAAGATGCAAGTGACAGATTTGCACCGCCTGGAATAGGTATTTTTGAACAAGCTTAAATTCTCAATTTCTCATCTCAACGTATGGTTAATGGAAACTAGTCGTAGAAAGCCAGTGCTAGCTGGGTTTTGTTTCTTGTGGGCTTTGTCTTCTAAGCTTATCCTTTGTAAATGGATGGTCCGATCTGTCGGGTCAATCCTATACTTGGTACCCCTGTCACCGTCGCTGTCACTGAATTATTGTCTACAGCAACTACCACTCTGTTGGGACTTTGGACTGTAAATGAAAGTAGTCGTGTTTCGTGGAGAGTGTTGTGCTGAGACTCTTGGATTAGGCAAGCATTCAGCAATTTTAGGTTCCATCGGAGCTGCGTAGTTTCTGATTAATTTAGAATCGTTCTCTGCGTTGAACCATTTACAAGTGACTGCTTTGTATCACTTAGGGTTAGTTTGGTTTACAGTTGGAATTGAAATTCGAATCAGAATTAAAATCTTTTGGAATCGGAATTTGAATAGTCTATTTCCATAATTTATTTGGTTCAGGCAAAAATGGAAACGAAAATTAGAATCAAGAGGAATGGGATTTTATTTTCAAGAGAGAGGGCAGGGAAATGGCTATTCCTTAAAAAATGGGAGAATGACATTCCGGCAAGAATGAGAATGGTTGATTCCGTCCAACCAAACAATTGAAATTGGAATAGCCAATTCCAATTCTGATTCCAGACCCCTATTCCTGCAAATCAAACAGGGCCTTAATGTATAGAAGAAAAATCCAGTGCATCTCATTACAATCCATGGTTTTTAAAATTGGAGCGGACAGTCGGACTGGAAAAAGAACCGGTCAGGTGAACAGTTCCGTTTTACTCCAAAGCCGCTATTTTGTCAAAAACCATTGATTTAGTTGACAAACCGCTGATCCGTACGTTCAAACTGTTCAAACCGTCCAATAATTTTGGCCATTTTTTATTTTTTGTCAGAATAGGCCATCTATTCCGTTCAAACGGTGGACCATTTGACCTGAGAACCAAACACTCCTGACCGGTTTGGTTCTAAAAACTTGGTTACAGTCCGCTGCAGTGAACCAATCATTTTAATTTGCTAATAAAGACTATCACTAAATTATGATTAAAAACCTATGAATTCGAGGACTCACTAATAACTTAAGCTTTTAGGGTGGATGGTCTTTATTTTTTCCTTTTTTCAGTTTACACAAACTGTTTACCAAATGTCTCGATTCATCAGTTCAAATAGCAAATCGGCCCTGTTTCTTCCATTAATCAACTTAAACATACTAATGAGTGATGAGTATTGCATCTCTCTCCCTTATCCTTGCACCGAGGATACTCATCCATATCTCTTCGATGAGAGAGCTTGACATTTGAACATTTAGGATAAGATATTTTACGACGGTGGGTCGAACATTCAAATAAGAACAAAATTCTTCTCATCAGAAGTCGTTTTTCTGTCTGTCATCCCAACGAACAAATCGGAACTTGGCACCCGACCCACCACTCCGCTAGTTCTTTTCTGGTCTTGATTCGTGAAATAAGAAACTTAAAATTTGCAACCTTTCAATCCTACCGAAGGACACGTACGTAGACAGCATACCCTTATATTAAAATCTGAAAACTTTTTCCAGGCAGACGTGAGAATGGTTTACGTGTTCACAAGTGAAATGTTTGGAAGGACGCTGGAATGAGCAAAGATAAACTCCAATAGTTTGAAATATATGTGATATGTCCTCCAGAACGTGCGTTCTAACGCTTGCCAGATTTATAGTATGATGTTGATCGTTGATGTTCTTCCAGTGGTTGGGGGTTGGTGGGTTCTTTTCTTATCCTTCGAACAAAGGCACCGTGTCATTGTCAGTGTAGACCTCAACCTCTTCTAAGACACTTTTACAGTGAACTAGTGAAATTCACTGTTGAAGGCTTATGGGCTGAAAATCCACGATACGAAACCACTACCCCTTAGTTTCTCCATGCTTCTCACCCTTTAGGATGGTTTATATATAAACCCTCCGACACCTTACCTTCCAGTTTCGTCATCAAAACAATTCAAAATTTCGAATAGAGCCGTGAATGGACTCCAAAATTATGATTCGGATCATACGTAGATTTAACACCACCCGATGTAATAAAAATCTGATTCTGATAAAAATTATCATTTTATGTATATATAGATAGTATATATAATTATATAAAGTCTATAATTTACAAATTTATATATTTATTATACGTATAGAAGTTAAAATAATAAGGTTTTTCAAAATTTCTTTTATTTTTTTGGATGATTTTAAACGCAACAAAATGGTGTGGATTAAATCTGAAATCCAACATAATAATTAAACACATGCAAATCTAAAAGTTTCCAGATGTTCAGATCCAAATCTGATCTATTTACATCTAATTCAAACGAGCTTCTGTATTGCACATTCCAAGGATTCCCAACCAAAACCGTTATAATTTACTTCATCTGTTTGCTATTGCTTCTTCTGTGGTGCAAAATAGATGTCTTGGCTAGTAGATGTGTGGAATAACGAATTGTCAAAGCTGCGTGAAAAGGGTCGAAGCTTCTTCCTACCAAGCAGGTCTAATTCTGATTCTAACTCGGGTCAAGTTGACCCAGGTGGTCCTCGCTGAAGAAGGTGGTCAAGCGATTAAACCAGCTCTGTCCTCCACTTTAAATCAAAGTTCAAAGTATCTATACCTATAAGCCCGTATTACATTGGGAGTTTCTCCATACACCCCTACAGAGGATATATTGGGATTTTGACCGGTTCAGGGGGTGGACAGACCTTCAACTGGCCCCTTTGAACTATATTTAAAAAAAAATATACCGATACAGCCCAATAAACCTCTACTGGCGTATAAGGCATATCAATATTTTGAACCTTGCTTTAAACCAAATTACACAAGATAAGCCCTCACGCCATCTGTGAAGACAGGTATCACATGTCGAATGAAAGCTCATGTGTTCATTAAGTTACAAGAGACACATATATAGAGACAAGACTGAGTCAATTGTAACAAAAAGTACACATGGCAAGATACAACTGTACATGTAACTGACTCTAATTTACTCTATTCTTCTAACAATCTGTAGTTCTGTTCGAACAGCCTTTACAGCCTTGCATCGGGAACATCTCCGTACTTCTATGCATTATTTCATGGGGAGATGTTGTCAATGCAAGGCTATGATGGCTGTTCGGGCTTTGCAATGACTGAATCCGGTTTCTCTGTAGTTCCCTTCTTGAAGGCTTCACTTCCTGTGCTCGTCAAATGCTTTAACCCTTGATAAAGCACCTAATCAAGCAGCAGATATTTTTCTTTTAGCTCTCTTTAATTTGTTCAGTTTCTTGTTGATTGCATGTAGATTATAAACGTTGCGAGAGAGAGAGAGAGAGGGGTGGAGGAGTTCCAAGCAAGCAGATTTTGATTTTATCTCAACTGATGAGCCTGTCGAGGTTAGGCTTCAAAGAACTAGCCATGCCGGTTGAATCTCCCACGCACGTAACGCACCACACAGACACCCTGAATTTTATTGATAAAAATAAAACTCTAAAGAGAGGACATAAATTAGTAATTTTTAAGCGTAGATTTATGGTATACCGGAAAAAATTAAATCAAGAAAACATTACACATGGTGGAGTTCAGATATGTAGGAAGAAGGGATTCCAAGATGAGAATATTAGTGCTAACACTTAACATGGATGTAAGATGTAACCCCCTATGTAGTAAAAACATTGCACATCCAAATACAAATTATACAACAAAAAAAAAAAAAAATTGCACATGAATTTTTACTAGCTATATAAAAAATTTTAACAGGCATGTAATTCTAATTCCAAATGACCGTAAGACGAAAACAAAAGGATGAACAGAGACGGTGCTTAAGAATTGAGACTTACAATTTAACTATTTAGGATGAGAGAAACATGAGTCGGGAATGGTGCTTCCTGTACAGTGTGATGGAAAACACCTAAATCACATACAGCAGGTCATCGACACTAGATTATCATTCAGTTCATCACCAAGCTTATCAGCAGTTCCATTTGCCTTCCAGAAAACATGGTCCTTTATCAAGCTTATAAATTCAACCAGCAGTTCTTTGTTTCCTTTTCCAAGCCTAATTTGGAACAAGGCATCTCGAACCCAACATTTGAGCACTCCCAGTTTCCTTCCATGTAGGTACGGGCTTAAGACTAAAGCTGCAAAGACCAGGCAAGAATACAAACTATCATTCCATACAAACTTGAACCACAAATTTTATCCCTTGAGATTATTAAAACTATAGACAACTGAATTTCATTAGAAAAATAGAATATACATCCTGGAGTGAATTCCAAATATGCAATTGATATTGAGTACTCAACTAGAAGGCCAAGTTAGACAACTAGATTATAGAAAAGAACCATTTCAGTAGAAGACAACATATGAATGTAATCTTAATAACCACTTGATCTTCTTGGAAGTTGGAACAGACAATATTGGGCCATGTTTGGGAGTGCTGAAAAATAAGTGCTTATTTGGACCAGGACCACACCATTAAGCACTTAATGGTGTTTGGCAAATAAGCCCGAAATAAGTGCTTATTTTAAAAATAAGGGCTTATTTTTTAAGCCCAAATTGTCAGTTTTTTTTAAGTGCTCATTCAATAAGGGCTTCTTCCAAAATTATCCCTATTTGAATTTTAAAATACCACTTACAAAACTACCCTAGTTGAATTTTATAAAATCACTTTCATAAAAGTACTTTTATAAGTACTTCTGTAAAAGTATTTTTAGAAAAGTGCTGTTGTAAAAGTTCTTCAATAAAAGTACTTTTATAAAAGTACTTCCATAAAAGCACAAAAGCATTTTTATAAAAGTACCGTAAAAGCACTTTTACAAAAGTGCTTTCGTAAAAGTGTTTTCATAAAAGAACTTTCATAAAGTGCTTAAGTTAAAGTGCTTTCATAAAAGTACTTTCATAAAATACTTTTACAAAAGTACTTTTATTAAAGTGCTTTCATAAAAGTACTTTTATAAAAAATGCTTTTATAAAAGTGCTTTCATAAATCACAAATGCGTGCTTATTGGAGAAAAAGGCTACCCAATGCCCAATATGAAATAAGTGATTATTTTTTAAAATAAGCACTTCAAAAAGTTGGGCGCCAAATGTAAATAAGTGCTTATTCGAATAAGCACTTATTTTTAACATAAGCACTCCCAAACATGGTCTTAGATCGCAATGAGATCTATTTCCAACAAAGTAGAATATACTAAGGGCTCCTAATTCCAATGAAGTGGAATATGTTAAAGGCTCTTGAAGCCAAGATTTTACTTCAGTGCTATGGGAGCCTGCAGTACCTTCATACCCTGAGAAGTTGTGGCACCAATCTAGTGATTATCCAATTAACACAGGAAGAAGCCTTTTGATAAAGGACCTTGTGGGCTGTTGATCATTGTCTTCATTGACACCAAATGCATACCCAGATCCTGCAGCAATCATTCATTGTTTGAGAACCACATAAAGAAACTAACTTGTTGAAGGGGAAAATGTCATAGTCCAACCTGATGGAGCCCATTCAATCTTCCCAAGGCCTGAAATCATTTGAGAAGAAGACTTAGGCTGGTCAGAGCATGTAACACCGCCATCCATCAGGCACCTATTGAAGAGGAAGCGGGGTTCCTTTGCACAATTTCATCCAACTGATACTTGCATGGGAGGACTAGGAATATAGAGGCAAGCACCAGGACTAGGAATGTGGAGACATGAAACTGTGCAATTTAAAAGTGTGGGAGACTTGAATCATGATGATGCTAGATGGGAAACTCTTGTCAACTAGGGAAGCATAGCTGATAGCGCTATGGTGTTCTCTCCCTCAGATATGGCACCAAGTCATTGCCAAGGTTGATGCCTGATTTGAAATTCACAAGCTTCAAGTAATGGTTCAAATCCATGGTGTCCACCCTTCATACATGTTGCATAGATTATCTATGCTGGTAGCTTGCTTGAGAAGATAAACCACTTGCTCTGCAATACTAATTTCCCTGCAAAAGCAAGTATGAAACATGTCACTCTAAGATCCCCCACCATCTGAAACAAAAACTTAACCAGAAAGAAATCGTAGTACCTACTTATCAAAAAAAAAAAAAAAAAGAAAAGAAATCATAATACCTGCCATCTCTAATATCTTGACCATCTAGTTTCATGTCAACTTGCCTCAACACAGATAGGGCATAAGTGTTCTTACCTGCAGACAATTAAGAATTACAGAGAGATTAAAAAACCAGAACTATAAGCATTTTATTCTTGAAAGAAGGACATAGAGTATATTGTAGAGAAGTAACTAAAAAAAGGGAATAAGGCATATTTACTATCTCCAGACCAAAATACCCTATGGAAAGAAGCCTCAATAAGAGTAGCATATCTGCAACACCACACTATATTTATAAACCTCTGAGGTCTTTTTTTTGTGACAATTCACACAGAATGGGACAAGGAAAGAATGGGCTCCTGTGCTGTTAAGAGGTACATGGAGTGTATACTGAAGATATGTGCCAATAATTTCCTCGAGGAAACCTCAAACTTAAATAAGAGAAGATACTCTCATGTGGTTTGAGTTGTTTGGTGGCATTATGCTCTCAATATTTCCTCAACCAAAAATTTTTTTCATGTTTCATAAACACATTACTGATTACAGCTACAATGAAAACAATTGGAAGGCAAAAGAAAGGAGCAATGAAAAAGATATAAGCCATAATTTGAAATGATAAGAGATCAGATACCCCTTGTCATCCGAATACCACCATCTGTATGGAGAAGAGGAGCTTCATGATTCCCAGAACCCTTGATCTGGTTTGATGTGGATTCTTCACCTTTATCTCCCAAAGTCACCTCCTCTGACTTTTCCTTGTCCAATGGATGTAAAGAGTCAATGTCAGGTGGAACTTCATCAGTTGATGGTGCCAAATCCCGCAGATGTTCAGTTGATTCATTAGGTATCAAATTGACAGATTTACCAACATTCCTGACTTCATCATACTTGGATTCTAGCTGCACAAAAATTGACCTTTCCTGATAACCAGTACCAGATAAGGAAACAGCATTCAAATCATCTGCAGTTTCTCTACTGCTGAATCCATGTGAAGACAGTTCCATAACATTTCTCAGATCATTAGAGCTGTCAGGAAGACTTGATTCAGGTGATGCAATGCTAGAATTGGGACTTTCACTATAGATACTATCAGGAGGAGAAACCCATCCATCATTTTGCAATGAAAATCCACCAACATCCAGAAACTCCGGGTTGCTGCTTTCATTAGCTCTGGAGAATATATCCCCCTCCTTGTCATCAAATACAGCAGCCTCACTTGTAAGGTCTGACCTCGACAACCCAATTTCTTGTGATCTCACAGCCTGACTTTCTCCTAATCCTTCTAGTGCCTGTTAAAGGTAAAAATAAAAGGAGAAAAAAAAGATATTTGTTAATCCTATCATTTGTGAAGAGAATGTGTTATGCATGCAAGTCTTCTTCTAAGACTAAAAAATAATTGGGTCCTTCTGAACTAAGCAGTGTTAATGCGGTAAATGACCTAGTTATTACTTGTCTGTATAACAGGAACCAGACAACCCCCCCTTCTCAAAATACACACAGGAGAAATAAGGAAAGAAAAAATTGGTAGTCCTATATTTTGTCCGAGACCCACAGTTATAAGGATAGGCCAGACCAGGTCTGTTGGATTGGTTTTACTCTGATAGATCTAGGGAGAGAAAGGTGACAATATGAAAAATATCACACTCATGGACAGAAAGAAACTAAAAGAAACTTGAGATCTCTTTGGTCTGTGCCGAGTCCAAGAGGAGACCTATGGATAGGGGTGAGCATTATTCGGTTAAAACCAAAAAAACAAACAAAAAATTTCAGTTTTCAAAATTAAAAATTCGGTTAACTGAAAAAACCAAATTAACCAAATTTCATGTTAATGAAATTCAGTTTTAACTGAAAACCGAACAGAAAATTTTGGTTTCAGTTATTTCAGTTTTCTTGTATTTCGGCTTATTCGGTTTGGTTTTTAACTGAATAAACCAAATGCTCACCCCTACCTATGGACAGAAAAGTCCAGATTGACAAAACTAGTGGACCATGAGAAAAACCTGTTTTGTGGAAAGGGAATAGGAAAGTTAAAATAAATCAAGGATGATAGACTTTGGGCCAAGTAAATATTTTCTCTCACAAGCTGGCAAGAACTGTAATCATGTACTAAAACTATAAGCTGCTAAAATTTCAACTAGCATTTGAGGCAGAACTACTTATGTCAAACCCCACAAATTTCCTTTTAAGGATGTCATTACCTTATGGAGATTTCCAGCATGGAGACTTGCAGATCGTGCAAGCTTCGTCAACATGGAATGAAGTTCCTTTACAGAAAAAGTAAGTGATGGCACTAATGGCTTTAAAGACTGACAACCCTCCCGAAGTCTCAAACAGTATGACTGGTACATTGCTTGTCCATGAATAGGGGGGATCTCCATCTTGCTTTCTCTTTCCCTAGAAATAGCATCATTCATAGCAGCGACATCCTTAGATAGGATAGATTCAAGTGGGAGAAGGATTGTATTTGCCTGCCCAATGGTAAAATCAATTAGTTGAGCATTCATGGTTGTCGCTCAAAGAGAACAAGCTCAGTAATCCTCTGAAAAAAAAAATAATATATTGGAATGGTGAGTTCAGCATATAAATCTATTTTTAACAAGGACATGCAAATGATTTGTATTAAGTCTTTAGATTGAAAAGTGACAGAAAACCTTTAAAAGATCTCCCATAAGATCACTATGTACTGCAGCAGCTTCCTTTCCCAGACCATGAACATCATGTAAACCCTCTGTTATTGCCAGAACCTACAAAAAGAAATATAATTATATTAGCGAAGAGTGTTGTCTAAGACCAGAAAATTTATTTGAGGCTGGGCATTTCTAATGACACAATGTGTGAAGACTCTCCTTTAAAATGAAGCCAAATCAATCAAGAAAATCAAAACCCATAGAGTGACTCTTAACTAGGGGTGCTCACAGTTCGGTTAGCTCAACCATGAGCAGATTTTTGAAACCGAACCAAATTAACCGATTAACTAGTTCAGTTTTTCGGTTGTCTATATTTATAACATATATTATAAAACCATATACAAAAATATTTGGTATAAATATATACCAATTATATTTAAGTTCTCCTTCCTCAACCCCGCCAAAGCCCAAGCTATCTTGGACCTCATTCTGATCTTCAAGTTCCACTTGCAACGTCTTAGTCTGAGGTTCTTTATCATAAACAAATGATCTTTATTCCTTAGGCCCTAGAGCTTCATTTTCTTATAAATAGATGATACCAAAGCATTGTAAATATGTCTTTTATTATTGAATGAAATTTTCGCCTTTTGACTTTTAGTTCCATCATACTCTTCGATTTGTTTTCCACTAGCATCATTTTACATCAACTCTCAGCTTCATGGCAGATATTGGATTTTACCTGCTGAGTCAAAAGCCCAGGCCTGGCACAACCATACTGCCATAAAAAAATGATTTGACTAGCAAGCCTATCCTACAGATATGCATGCGCTCACACAAAAAATACACAAAATGCATGCACCATAGTAGTACAGAACCTTAAGCATACATATTTACCCCCCCCCCCCAAAGGAAACATAGCTTTTTCATGCGCAACTTGCAAGCCTGTCCTACAAAAATGCATGGAGACACAAATGGTGGCTTCAACAAGCATAGGATTACTCCCCACCCCAAAAAAAGGAGTGAGAGAGAGAGAGAGGAAAGGGGAGGGGAGGGATGGAGCTTTATCATGCACCATACATCATATGGTACTTTACCTCTTCAAGCATGGAGCCACATTCAGAAGTCAAAGCAGTATGGCCTCTTGTGACACGACCGAAAGCAGACAGTGCCATGCTAGCTTCGTAGGCACAATCATACATTGCTGCAAGTATCCCTTGAAGATCACCTGCAAAGGAAAAATGGAAGCTTTTCATGTACACATATTCATGTATATATGTGCATGCATCTATATTTGTACACTCATGATGCATATACAACTAAGAGTCTTCATTCAAGTCTAAACACTTGTATGCATACAGATACCTTCTATTTTATATTTTATGAAGCATATATACATATATACATACATACATAGATACATTATATATATTAAACGTATCTATGTATGCATACATGGGGGTTTATGAATATTCAACTAGAAAAGTTGGCATTTGACCTGAAGCTGACTTTGCTTTGACAGAGGCAATACAGAGTTCATTGGTGGCAGAAAACAAGCTACTGGCAGCAGCTTCCATGCTGCTCTGTGCCATCTTCCATTCTTGCTCAGCACCTGATAAGTGCAAGGAAAGAAACTGCATGATCACTAATATGTATTTCAGAATTGACAATAAGTAGATTATATCCAACTTTTTGGGCAAGTTAATGATTGCTATTTGAAGACTCACGTGTAAAAGAATGATAAGCAACATCCAATCTTGTTAGAGAAGTCATATATACTTGGTGCCATGTTCTGCCATCTCCAGTGGCCCTACCTGAGGATATCTCCCCAGACATCTGGAAAATACCATCTCTAGATGCTTCAAATTCCAATACAGATGAACAGATTTTGATAATATCTGATGCTTGTTCTCGAGCAGCCCATAGCAACTGTCGGCGTCTCATTAGATGATCACGGAATTCAGGAGGAATTCCTGAGTTCTTGGATGATGTGTTTCCAGTCCCAGGATTTGGACCAGCACAGGCCCACCCCATGGCTCTTTCAAGCTGCCCCTCTGCTGACACAGAGGTTCTCTCACAAACTTGCAGGCAATCCATAGACCTAGCTATTGATGACATAGCGGATTGTATACTTTCCAACAATTTAGGTCTGCTAAGGTTCAAAATCATGGGGTATAGTTTATCATCATATACAAGAAAATTCTGCAATTTGACCCTGTTTCTATGCAGATAGGGTAAGGAAGCATCATAGAGCCACTCCATCTGAACAATCTCTAGGCTTGCCTTGCGAATAGCTTCCTTGAGCTCAGTCACCTGCTTTTTCATAAGGGACACTGCTGATCTTGCAGCCCTAGCAGTCTCATGTGCATTACAGTATTCCTCAAGCATGACCTGCACCCTCTTCACAGCACCAATTTCTCTCTTTACTTGATCAGAATTAAGTTCCTTTGTTGCCTCAGAATGTTGCTTCAAATGCTCACATTCTTTCTCTAACTGAGCCAAAAGAGCAGGAGCAATTCGTTCTCTCAAGTAATGGCCTATGTGTTCTTGAAGCTGTATTTCGAGCTTCTTCTTCAACACATTGAAAAGCTGATCAAATCCTAAATTTTGATCCACAGAAGAAGATATGTCATGTACGCATGAATCAAGAAAGGAGTCCATCATTCCAATTTTCCAAATAAAGAATGAATGATTGTTTAGTAAGCTGGAAAACTTCCAAATAGATTCTGATATAGAGTATCCAGAATTCATTAAATTTGCTAGATTAGAAGACCCATTTGAGTAGGTTGAATATCTACCAAATGTAGCCAGCACTTTATCAATAGATTCCAACTCAGAGAAGGGTTTCATTAATGTAGCCAGAAGGGCTTTACTCCTCAAAACATGTGGGTCCCTCCCTTGCTCAATATTAACCAGAGAAAGAAGGTGGTGTTCTGAAGAAACCAATGCACTTCTAATACCAGCTTCCCTCTTTAGAAGAGAAGAAGTCCGGATGTCCTTCTGATTCCATGTTTGATGTAGTTGGTCCAGTTGTGCCCTACAAGCTTCTTCTTCAGATGCAAGCTCCTCTGCCTCTTCCCATGAAAGGTGATCTCTACCCTTAACCGCAGCTTCCTCGAGAGCCAGTTGTTGTTCTGTAATGAGGCCAACCTTCACAAAGTAGTTCTGTTCAAGCTCCACTAAAGACGCCCTCTCCAGCTCAATCTCAACTAACTGTTCCAGTGCTGTATCGATGGATCCACGGATTTGTGAAAGGGATCCAAATGCATCCATTACTTCTGAATTATATGAAACAACTGACCTAATTATCTCTGGAAGAACAATTTCAGTCATTTGCACAATCAATATCTTAGATGAAAGTAAACTGGCCTGAAATATAGAAGCCCAAGTTCCTTCAGAAGAGTGTTTTAGATTGTCCAAATCTGCAAGAACATTAGATGAATTCATGCCAATATACTGACAAAGTTCATTAACAAACTCTGCAACAAGCATGCATTTTTCTATTTGCTCTTCAAATTCCGAGAAAGTGGTTCCAAAATTAGAGGGAAGACCAACTTCAGTATGGCTCGAGCCCATTCCTTCACTGGAGTTACTCAAGATGTCGAGTACTTTAACTTTTACCTCATTATACATGGAACAAGCTGCTGCATGCAAAACTGACAACACCTTCACCTTCTTCTCTTCGAGCTCTCCTTGTAATCGGACATCCCTTGCCACCTCATGCTTAATTTGCCCCATTTGAATAAAAGATGCATCATCTTCTTTCCTTGAACAACCAGCAGATTGCATGTACTTTGTGAAAGCAGATAGAAGACGATCCTTGGATTTTGCTTCAGTCTCTGAACCAATGGAGTTTACCAGTTCAGAACACTCTTCTTCAATTTTCTCTATCTCCACTGCATATTTCTCCACTTTATGACACAACTCTTCATGTCTTTGTTGAATAGAATCAAGATCATCCCTTTGACCTTTTGAAATAAGATCAGCAGCCTGTCTTCTGGAAAGAGAGAGAATATCAGAAGATAGGGTATTCACTGACAATTGCAAGATTTGTGCCCAACCATGTAGTGGACTGGTTGAAATGTAATTCAGTGGTAGAATCCTTTGCAATGCTAAAGCATAGGCCTGGAGTGCTTTTATTGCACAAGAAAGTCCAGCATCCAGCTCAGCTATGAGCTGAGAAACATCCCTGTCTAAATCATGGCATTGTGCTTGTGTGGGCTCAGGAACAATAGTCAATGGAACACCAGCAACCAGAACAGCAGATATCAGTGATAAAGCCTCTTGCATGCTCCCCAGTTTCATGCATGCCTGGATTTCTGGAATTGAACCACTCCTTAAAGCATCAAGAACTCTTCCATGTTGCTCCATCCACATTGCCACTTCTTGTGTTTTCTCAGTCGCCACAGCTTTTGCTTGAGCAAATTCATGAGCCTGTATTTCGAATGAGGCGCGTGTTTTCTCTGAATTAGAAGTTGCTTCAGCAACAATTGACTTCGCAGATGTTTCATGCAGAGCAAGGTTTGATCTCTCTTGGTCAGCTCGGTAGAAAAGGGCAGAAACAACCTCATATTGGTTTAGGACATCCATGAACCTCTGATGTGTGCATGTCCAAGTTAGACAAATTTCAACATGATTGTTGTTCAAAACTAGAAAATTTGTAGCACTCTATAGACAACAAAGTAGCCAATTAATACCTCTAAAGCAGACTCAGCAGCTGGTAAGGTGGCCAGTAAAAGATCATGATGCTCCTGATCACAATTAGAGAAATCAAGCATCAAATAAATCTTGAATAAGCTTCTTATCAGAAACACCAGTACTGGTTGGGCACAGAGTATTACAAAGATCTCATTTATTAATATCATTGTAAGTAAGGTTATGCAAAAGGTGAAGGATATAAATTCAATAAAAAGTGAAAGCTACTAGCACCGTGGTTTCCAAAAAGTTGAGGCATGGAGCACCAAGCCTCATAAACGTTCACATGCACAAAATCTATAGAAGATTAAAATTTTGTCAAAATTTCACATTTTATACCATGATCATTGGTAACTAGCACAAAATCTACAGAAACCTACTGTTTTGGTTAAATTGGAGGGAAGATAGTTAGGAAAAACAGAATAACTAGGGAGGAAAACAGGGAGACAAGGATAAAATGAAGAATACAGAGAAAGAGATTAAGAAAGAAATTGGAAGAAGAAATTAAAACAGGATTTAGTTCAATGGTTCTCAAATTTCTAGTGAAATTTTGGCCCAAAATTTAACCATGAACCAGGTTGAACTAGTACCTACTTTTCTTGATGAAGAACTAGCACCTACTTCAAAACTGGAAATAATCCTTGCATAAACACACAAGTATGAAAGATTTCAAGGCAACAAGTACCTGTAAAGCAACACGAATTTCTTGCACTCGGGATGCAAATAAACTCAAGCTAACCGCCAATTCCATGCCCTTTCTTTCTTCACCACCAATTGCGGCTTCATCATGGCCATCTCCACGTGTCCACTCTACTAGTGGATCCCAAACAAATACTTCTAATAACATTATAATTACATCTTTGTTCTTCCTCAGAATATCAATAACTGCTTCACAGTTGGCTCTGAAGTTACCTTCAATTCCTGTCAAGCCTAAAGCTGCTTCAATCATCTGGGTCAGGCGGAAGGGGACAATCTCTGGAATTTTTAGTCTCTGCCCTTTATCAAAACATACATTGTAATCTATATGTACAACATCCCCACTGGAGAAATCCATGAGAATATTATCCAGATGCCTATCCCCTAGACCCAGAATGTGGCCTACCATGCTCATGGCTGCCACACTAGCAGAATACCTTCAAGCAGAGAAATACATACATATTTAGTGCAATAAACAGTAGGAAGGAAAATGCATCTTACTACATAAGTAACAAAAACACAGATTTAGATCATCATGTAAGAGTTGGAATTCATGTAAATTTCCTGCCATTTAACAAACTAATAAAGCATATGCACAGACAAAATAATTCAAACTGGTACCAGACAAGAAGTGCAAAGAAAACCATAAACCAAAGAAAATCCAAAACTTCAGTAATCAATTTGCCTGGACTCTTCAGACTTGCTAGATGTTTCGTGTCTGTACTCTGTAGATCATCAAGACAAATAATTTAGGACTAGTTTTTTTTTTTTTCTTTTTTGAAGGCAGAGTATTGAATTATATTGCTCAAAGGGAGGGAGAGATTCCCTCTAAATATGTACAAGATGTGATCATATGGGTCTATACAACTATCAAAAGGTATACTACTTGTATAAAGTGTAATCAATGTTCACTCATTTACAAAATCCACAAAAAAATCCTCACCCATTGATTTAAGAACAGCTCTTTTTCATGCCTTTGAACTCCTGAACACTTGCTCATTTGACCAAGCACCTCTCAGTCCTCCCAATCAACCAATCAGGATCTGTCCCAGCTTGATTAAATACTCTACTATTATGCTCCAATCATATAGCCCAGGACATGGCTCCAGGAACTAGCTGCCATAATTTCCTTCCCCTGGTACTAAAATGCCTTAGATGGCCAGGCTGCAATCAGAAAGGCCAGGTCTCTTGGCATGTCCATGACTACCCTGAAAATCTCTGAGAAGTAGCAACAAATACTGTAAGAGACTTGGCACCAGATACATCTTCAATTTCTGACTGGCATAAGGCACACTGACTAGTTTTCACTTTCAGCAATTGTCTTTTTTTATCAGTAGAAACTTTATTTTATTAATTAATTATATGTAAAAAACAGTACAACTTGATGACCAGAATGTCATCCCCAATAACATAAACTAGGTTACAAAGAAGCCCAGAACAATAGCTGCCTTGCTGCCCCTTGTTAAGCAAGGGGGTCAGCTAGCCCATTTGCACTCCTTAAACACTTGAATTCAGCACTAAATCTCTTGCAATCCTTTCAACTTCCCTCTCCCCTGTATACATTTTTGAGAGTCCAAGGAATATGTCCAAGGAATAACTCAGTTGCTTTGCCAGCCAGAGACCATGTAGTAAAGCCAAGAATTCAACCTTCACAGAATTAGACATACCAACTGGTCCTGAATAAAGAGCCAATATCCTGCCCTCCGAATTTCTGAGGAGGGTCCCAACTGCAGCCAAAAAGAGAACATTGATTATGCAGCATGGCATAGTTCCCAAATATCTCCAGTTTGTAAGGTATGATGTCTGTTCTGGATATTCAGTTCTTTTTTTGTAAGATACTTGGGCGGGTAGTCTACTAGGATTGAGGGAGTTGAGTTTGATTGTGTTTCTGAGTTGTTACTTTCCCTTGGCAATGTTTGTTTGGACCCTTTAAGTCTGATAGAAGGGTTTGGGACCCTGTTCCAAAAGGTTCTTTTACTTGTGCCTCCTTTCTCAAATTTCTCTATTCTAATGTTGTTCCTTGGACTTTCCCTGTTAAAGAAGTTTGGACTAAGCCTATTCCCCCCAAAATTGTTGTCTTTTTGCCAAAAGAAAGTGTATCATGGTAAGATTAAATACTTTGGACAACTTGCAAAAGAAAAGGCCTTTATGTGCTTATCCCTAAACTGGTATTTTCTATGCAAAGACCATAGTGAGGACTGCTACCACTAACTGATTTCTTGTTCCTTTGTAGCGGCTCTATGGAATTAGATGTCTGTTTTGATTGGTTGTAAACTTGTAGGTGGAACCTGCCAATGGACATAAAATTGTTGCTTAGTCCATCTACCTTTGTTTGGTCCAGTGTTTTCATCTCTCATCATTGACTTGGCCAGTTGAATTGTTTGAACCGTCACCCTTTCAAGATTCCATGTGCAGTTTGCAAGAAACCTGCCACTTGGTCAAAAACCGTTCGACCCATAGTTGTCAAGGCGACGCCTAGGCGACAAGGCGCCCTTGGAGGCTCGCCTCGCCCAGTCACCAAGCAGTTTTGTGAACTGGGTTATAAAATACTTTTATATTTTTTATTTTTTGACATTATAATTATAAAATAGACATTATTAAACGAGAATATTCATTTTATGTGTTTATATACTAAATTACTAATTTCTTTTTATTATTTTCTTATTTTGTTAGGGTTTAATCAACGCAAACATTGCTAACTTCTGTATTGAACCCATGGCTCAAAGTATCGATACACCTCTATGTATTGGCAGAGGTGTATCGGTACTTATAACGATACTCCCCTATTTCTTTTTTAATTTCTTTGGTTTTCACTTTCATTTTTAAATATATATATATATTGAAAAAAAATGGGTCCCCGAAAACACCTGTAAACAGGTATCGGGACCCCAAAGATACAATACAATATACTCGATATGGAGTGTATCATATCGAAATTTTGATCCTTGATTGAACCCTCAAAAATTTCAAAACTTGAACCAATAAGCAAGGGAAGAACTTAAAATTTTGTCTAGCCAACACATTTTCTTCTTCCACATCTTCTTCTTCCACCTTTTCTTTTCTTCTTTCCTATAACAAAAGTAGGGGTTCAAATGGTTACGGAACCTAGGAAACTACCCTAGGATATATGGTTTTACTTAAAAAAAAAAATCCATCGCCTAGGCGACTAGGCAACAAGGCACCCCCTATCGCCTAGCCTCGCCTTAGCGCCATGAAAACTATGGTTCGACCTGGTCAGATGAAGCAATGACCCGTTCGACTTGGTCACCGGGTCACAGGTTGCACACTTAATATGTGTCCCAAGGTGACATAGGTGCCTTGTCCCACTATTTTTGCGAAAAAAAACCTTTTTTGGCCTTAAATTGCAATTTTTAACATTTTTTTGCAAATAAAATTTAAAAACTAAACTAAAAATATAAATTAAATAATAAAATAATATTTGTATATACATATATTACATCTAAAATAATATTTACACATATATGTATATATATACATATGTTGATGTGGTACAGTCTAACCCGTCGAACTAGTGACCCGTGACTCGGAGGCAAAAATGATTCAACCTCTCGGTCGATTTTTAAAACATTGGTTTATCCCACAAAACAAGGGAGAATCATGTGGAGATGTTTCAATCTTTTAGGGCAGCTACCTTGTAGACTATCTTGGAAGAAAGGAATGCTAGAATCTTCCAAGAGAAGGAGAGAGAGCATTTTCAGTAGTGAACAAGTGTATTTTAAATAGGGCTATCCATTGGATGAAAACCCTAGATTCCTTTAATTCCTTTTCTTTTGACGACATTTGGAGAAGCTACTCTATAGTAGTTAATACTTCTTTTAAGAAAAGCTGAACTTTAGCAGTTTGGACACCACCTCCGGAAGGGTTCACTAAGCCAATTTTTGATGGGAACAGTCAAGGCAGTCCAAGGCTATTAGGCATAGGAGGGGTTTTGAGAAATGAGGATAGTAACATCATATCCTTGTTTTCTCAGGCCCAATAGGAATAGGTGATTCTTCAAGGGCTGAGTTATTAGCTGCAGTACAAGGGATTCAGATTGCCGACCAACTTGGGGTGGAGAATCTACTAATTTGAAGGGGACTCTAGGGTGATTGTGGGCTGGTTGTTGAACCCAGAGTATGTCCTTTGGTGTTATAGGGATCTTATAAAAAAAGTTAAATGGTTAACAAGGCACACGACAATTAGAGTCCAATGGGTGGATAGGTCGGCAAATTCTTTGCTGATTTTCTTACTATACAAGGGTCTTCTCGGGAAGTGCTATTTGGGCAGCTTATCTTTCTTTTTTGACTATAATGTAACCTTCGTTTTTAGGAGAGGTCGCACCTCGTCCCTTTCCAAGAGATGCTTGTAAAAGTTTTTTCTCCGATGTTTTCAAAACCGGACCAGACCAGACGGTCGGACTGGAAAAACTGGGAACCAGTCAGGTCTCCGGTTCCGGTTATACTATGAATCACTTTTTTTTCAAAAAAAACGCTGAAAAAGTAAGAAAACCGCTGACCCAGACAGTCAAACCGCCAAACCGTTTGACCCGGGCAGCGGTTCACGGTTTACTGAACTGTGAACACTTAACAAGAGCAGATCAAGAGATGGGGGAGGGATTGAAATGAGAACAGTTTTCAGATCTCAGTTCTGAGACCAGTGAGAACAGTTTTCATTCTTTCCCTTTCGTTCTTCCCTTTCCTTTCTTTTCTTTCCTTTACCAGCCAACAGCTTACAACTACCTCTTCTTTCTTCCCTTTCCTTTCTCTCTTTTCTTTCTTCCCTTTCCTTTCTCTCTTTTCTTTCCTTTACCAGCCAATAGCTTACAACTACCTCTTCTCCCTATTTGTATTTCTTCCCAACCTGTGACCTAAATGCTAATTCAATGGTCAAGATATACCTTGACCGTTTTGACCCGCTCGACCAGGACGGTCGAACCGCTGACCCGGAAACCGGTGGCCAAAGCAGTTCAGCTTCCGGGTCAAAACCTTGTTTTTCTCTTTGCTTAATGAAATTATTATTCAATTATCTAAAAAACAATGATTATGCAGCTACTTGCCTTGGTTTCTATGCAGGTCATAAAGCTAAGTCAAATATTTTAGTAGTATCATATCATACAAGGTTAATAATTATAAATAGCAGTTGTATTTTAATTTTTAAATTCAATCAATGAGTCAAGACACTTAAAAAAGGACATCGAAAATTCTCAAAATCTAAATATCTTTTATCTTTTTAGTTTTTACTTGCACACATGCATGGCACATATGACATACCTTACACTAGTAACTAAAAATGTTTCCAATACCTTCCAGTGTTGTCAGATCAGATGCAGATCGAACCCAGCAGTTGAGCCAGCAAATTGGTAACCCAGTGAGCTTTCTTGGCCCATGTTTTTGACAGTTTTTTTATAGGCCAAACAATCTAACCACCAATTAAATGAACCAGTAAAACCATGACCCAGTGAGATTTCCGGTTTTACATGCAATCCAGTTCGAACAACAATGGCTTATTCTTTACAAGGAAAGTTCAATTGACCATCCAACAGTCTATAAAGCATCAATATTGAATTGAAGGTTGAAATTCAAAATTTTGAAACAAAGAAAAGAAATGCATCCTTTCAATGCTCGTAGGAATTAGTCATTTTGGAACTTGGTAACACAGAAAAGATAGAAGAGAATTGCAAGTAAAAATGTTTAAGGCATAAGGTACCTCTTTAGTTTCGAGCTGAAGGCTTTGAATCCTTCACTAGCACACCAAAGTTCTTGATGAAGAAGTTGTCTAGGAGTCTCCTTCATTAGATCCAGAAGAACTTTCCTCTTGACTTCATGGGGCCAGTCTCTCCGTGAGATTACTCTCCGTATACCTTTCTCTTTGAGTGCTGGTATAATTTTTCCATAAAACATATCGCTTGGCCGAGGAACAGGTGGTGGAACTGTGTTATTTGTATTGCCAGGACCCATTGCTGAGAGTTGTGCCAGCTGGACACGGTTCTGCCAAGACTTGAAAACACTATATATGCTTATTACATTGTCAACCCACTGGATAAGACCAGCCCGACCACTGATTGGTGTCACAGAATAATAACGAATAGCAAGAGAACGGCTACGAGTATCAGGGGATGAATGCAAAAAACCATTAATTGCCTGCAACAGCTGCATAATTCTGGCATCAAGTCGCAGATCCTCTCGTCCTTTCAAGAGATATGTATACTTTTGACCATCAGAGCCCAGAATCACAAGCCTCTTAGGTTTTGTCTTGGTAGATAAAATAATCACTTGTTCTGAGAAAGAAGCAATTGTTACAATTCTCTGGAGATCAGTGGCAAAACCACCATCAGATTCAGGCATAGTAATTTGCTTCTCAAGGCCTGGCATGGGTGCCTCAGAAGATGATAATAGAGCCAGCCGTGGAGCAACATCACCCAAAGAAATTGATGATTTCCTCTGATAAGTTGCTAAAGATGCTGCAATAGCATCAAAAGGTCGCCATACATCACCAAGAGATGCTGCAGATACTGGAGGGGTCTTAAATGTTAAAATTGCAGATTTCAGTTGTTCCCCATACTCCTTATGGAACCAGATTTCATGTGGTGTTTCAGGTTTTCGAGAAGTTGAAGCCAGACGACGCTCCAAGGCCACAACAATGGGGGCCATCATGGCAGAGTATTTTGCAGCATTTATCTTGTTCTTCTCACTATGACTTAGAGTGGCATTTTGTGAAATCCGTGAAGCTTCCTCTTTTAGCATATTTATCCGCCTCATTACATCTGATTTGAGGAAAAGAAAAAGGCATAGAAATGTTATTAAAGAAATAAAGCTAGAACTAGGTCAAACATGCCATAATCACAAACATCACTGTTATTTTGAGAACTTAAAGCAACCACTACAGTTAAAAGACCAAATTAAAATTTTTAATATTTGTAAACAGATCATATGGAACCATGAAAAAAACACATTGTCAACAGAAATAAAATTTAGGGTGTTGTAGTATGAGAGAACCAAGTATACCTGTGTGAAGATCTTGAAGAGTGCTAAGCCACAATTCCTCCCACAAAACAGTTACATTCCCCAACTCATTTATTATAAGGTGGACATCTTGAATTAATTTTGGGTAAAGCTTCGTCTGCATTCAACATCCAATAAAACAGCAAATTCAGGTTTAGAAAAATAAATAATTTCTCAAATTGATTATGATATTCTGTTTTTTTTTTTTGTTGGAAATTAAGCAGAACTTATATTAACGAAAAAAGAGGGAAGGACAGAACAACCCCATTACTGAAAGAGCTGTAGAGAAGATGGGCCGAATGGCCCATAGGTTGCTTATTCTTTCTTGTTGTTTATGTTTCTTTTCTGTAATGGGCCTTATTCTGGGTCCATCCTGTCAATATTAAGTTCTGTGTAAATTCTTGCCCAACTAAGGGCCTCCTTGTAATTATTCAAATATTTCTAATAAAACAGTGTTAGGGGGCTGAGAGAGGGAGTGTTTGAAATCCTCTTCTCAGACCCTCATTGCCGAACCCTCAACTCGCTTCTCTTCAGTTTTCTTCATGGTATCAGAGCATACCTGAACTTCAGTATCCTRGSGCTGGAAGCTTGACTCGTGTTGCCTGATTCTTGGAGGTCATTGGAAGTGCCCAAGATTTGAATCTCTTGGAGAAGTGGTTCAGTGGCCAGGAAGAATCAGAGAAAAGAAAAAGGGGAAGAGGAAGAGGAACAGTTCGGTTCTGTTGAAGCTCAAAACTGTAAGTTGTACTCAGATTTCTGGGTTCAGTTTTCTTCTGGTTCGAAACTGTAAGTTGTACTCAGATTTCTGGTTCGAAACTGTAAGTTGTACTCAGATTTCTGGGTTCAGTTTTCTTTTGGTTGTTCTGTATTGCTTTC